ATATTTCATTTTCCTATCGTTGCCTAACATTATACCGGTATTACCGTGAACGGTATAATATGGCCCAGCCCTACTACACAGTATTGATTTTTTTTCCCCCACCCCTAATACGCCATGCCAGTCTCTTATGTGTCTTCTAGCCAACCTCAGACTCAGCCTTCCTATTACAGCACAGCCTATAGCTGGAATAACTGTCCTACATTCGTGCCTCCACATGTCTTCAGTCTATATTTCTACCCTCAGTCTTTGTCTTATTTCAGCACTAAGGTTTTGTGTGGATATAGTTACTCTACGTGCGGTGAATAGCTAAGGGGAGTAAAGAGGCCCGTGTTGTGTCATAAGATACTCTGTGTGCTTCATTCCTTCATGGCCTGCTGACCCATGTGCAACAGCTGTTGCACATGGGTCAGCGTATTGATGGCCACATGTTGCGTCAGCCCTTCTCATGAGGCCTGAACGTGTTATTCAGAGCTGTTTTGAATCATTTGCACTGAAAGATAATGGAGTTTTACTCAGCTGTGTTGATGATGATAAAGGTACTGTTAGTGTTTGGTCTCTTAGTCTGTTGGCATACTGAGATATCTGAGCAACCTTTGGATAGAGTGCTATAAAGTTTTACATAGATGTCCACAGTGAAAGTTTAAATCCTTAGACCCCTCGCTCTCTGGCAGTCCCCGGACATTTCAGCGTCAACTCATTAACTGAGATATCTACTCAGAAGCCTTTACTTTTCTTTAGATTGCCATTTTACATTTTGTGCAGACCCTAAAAACCAAAATGACCAGAAAAAGTTGGTTAGTATTATCAAGTCAAAAAAATTCTGTTAACAATGTCTGCTAACTGCTATCCAAAAATGATAAACATAATAAGCATTATACCTGCAGAACATCAGCATGATGTCGTGGCCATATTGGCAAGCTCATGTGAGCTTTATGTACAAATACAAATGTAAAAATCGGGGTGACTTTTTAATCTCTGTCAGCCAGCCCGTGTTTGTATTTGACCTCTTTGACCTCTGTTTGTTTCCCTTCCCTTGCACCCTTGTCCTTGGTCTTCAGTTTGATGAGTGAGAGTGCCGCCAGCCTCCTCCCATCACCACAATGGTCGACATGGAGACCCATTACCATCCCCCCTCTCCCCTGGAGGACTCGGTGCTGGGCAGTCCCCTGTGTGCTGATGACGATTTCATGGGTAGCATGGAGCAGCTCCAGGACATCTCCCAATCCATCAGCGACGACGCTCTTAGCTCATTTGGTGTCCCAAAATACCAATCCTCCAGCAACGGCTCTGATGGGTCCACCGTCCTCGGTAAAATTAAGTGTGATTTCTTTTTGTTTACAAAGTTACAGTCAGACCATGAGTGGTTTGCTTTCTCGCTCTGGTTTCACAATGTCCCAGCACCTCAGTGTAATCTCCTTGCCATTCTTGTTGTTGTCAAACCAGGAGTCCTTCAGTCTATCCCCGTAATCCCTATTTTGCTCCAAATTGAGGTTTAGATAAGAAACTCACTTTGGCCTTTTTAACTTTTTTCTCTTAAAAGGCTGTACTACATTATCTGTTATCTTAACAAACTTTTTCTCAGTCTCCTCTGTCCAGACTAAAACACTTCCTAATGATTTGAGAAATTGCCCTTTTAGCGATTGGTGTGATATCTGAGTTTCCTGAGAGATTTCCTTTCTTTCCTTCAGTATTTCCACCGTTTTTCCATTTTTCTCCTCTGGCCTTATTCGCCTATCATCCTTGTGACTCTCTAGTTTTACCTCTTTTTTTCCTTCTCCTTCTAGCCTTTCTCTTTACCCCATATCCAACAAGGAATTTACACATTCCTAAACCACCATGCAAAACCTATCAGGAAACATCCAATTTGCTTCTGTGTTTCCTCCTGAATAGACTGGGTCTGGTAAATTTACATGCTTAAAAAAAAAAAGAAATGCAACAAGTGAAGGAGCTGTGAAGAGTACATGTAAGACAGGGGAGAAGGGGGGGGGGTGGAAGAGCACTGAGCATCAGAGAAACATTTGATGACATCACGGAAAAGGCAGTGTGAGCGTGCATGCGATTTATGGGTGTTTAGGAGCACAAACACGGTGAGAGACAGGAGCAGAAACTCATATGCTTTCACTCTCTGCTCTCAGTCAAAACATGTGCACTTGCCCCAAGCTGGAACACAGCTCACTGCCAAATGCTGCTTATCCCTGTGCTGGCATCTCTCACCAAAACTCATGTGGCTTGACTTAGTGCCACTGTTTTGTACCATTTCATCTGCGCTATTTGTGTACCAAGCAAGTTCTACCAACCACGTTCCCTTTGCAGTGTGGAAATGGAAAGCTGTTGGCAACACGCAGCAAACCCCATGACCTGTCATCCATGACGAGGATCTGTAATAGTACTACATAATGATGCTATGTTTGTGACAGGCAGTACATCACAGCGTGTTAATATCTGTAAGTAAATGCTGTGATGGAACGGGCTGTCCTGGTTGGGTCATAGAGGTGCAACTGTGCTTCAGATTCACCGGCTCTTTGGCAGAGAGAGGTGAATGTGCAGATGTCAATGATCATATGTAGTTCAAATTTCTCAAGCTTTTAACTTTAGACATAGGATGAGGCGGCTCTGTGAAATTTACATTTTTTTGGGTCAAAATTTTGTGCAGTGCTTTTATCGAGAGATCGAGGGATTTTCAACATAGCATTTCTAAATATACTAGTTTTCTTTAGAAATAATTATTTCTATCTGCACACAATAAAAGAGCAGAAAAAGAATTGTCTCACGAAGCAGGAGATGGATATAGAAAGTTATCACAGCATTTCCAGATGAACAAGAACTCGAGTGAGAAGTATCATCAAGAAATTCAAAGAGCCACAAAGTACAGGACAAGCCTGGCAGAGGTAGGAAGTGAAAGATTTCAAACACTCTGAAAGAAAACTAGTGAGAAATGTGTTTGAAGACCCCAGAACAACTGCCAAGACACTAGCTAACTAGAGACGTAGCTAAGTCAGGATCTGTAGTCTCAAAGAAGACAGTCACCAGAATCCTGCACAGGAATGGACTGAGAGCTTGCAGACCAAGAAGAAGAGACACCCTAAAGCCAGACTGAAGTATGCGGGCAAACTGGAAGCGCTCCCTTTGGTCAGATGAGACGAAACTAGGGTTTTCTTTGTGTGTAAAATAATGCAAGGATCCAAAAACTAGGATTTTTGGAAAAGCATTTTCTTTTCATTTTGTGACCTTCAGACACTCGGCCACTTCTGTCTTTGGTTCTCAGTGATTCCGTCTTCTGTACAAGCTTGTGAATATTCATTTCATTTTAGTTTTTTGTGCCATTCCTTACTTCAGTTAAAATTATAATAGCATTTGTTGACAAATAGTAAAAAACCCAGATCTTTTTAGTTACCATTAAATATTAGTGTCATTTATATATCAGGAGAAAATGTAATCATGTGCATGCTTGTTTTATTAGATGCGCTTACGCCAGCATCCAGCCCATCATCGGTTGTTTATGGCGTGGTGGCTGGCCAGGAGGAATTGTCATCTTCATCCACATCACTGAACCTGGAGTGCCGAGTGTGTTCTGACCGCGCCTCGGGCTACCACTACGGAGTCCATGCCTGCGAGGGCTGCAAGGTGAGATAAAGATTTTTGTAAAATAAAGAAGAAGTGCTCTGAGAGCGCACACGGCAAGGCAGCTCACTCTCTGGACAGTATTTACTTTTAAGAGAATTGTGTTGTATTTTTTTATACATTCATTTTGTTTTCTTCGGTCTTTTTTAAATGCACTTAAAGACGTTTATAGTGCTGTAAAAACAAATGTAAAATGCAGGCTTTTGTTATTTTCCTTTTTGAATTTAATATGCTTGACATACTCAGATTTTGAGTGTACAGTATTCCCACGCCACATCGCGGTTCACGTTTTGCGGACTCTTTACAATCCCGGATTTATCTATAAATTTATATCACGGGAATTTTGTTAAATTGCGGGTTTCTGCAGCCTATAGGTATACTGTGCCGCTGCACATACAAATGTTTTTAAAATACTGTACGAATGGATGTATCTCAAAAGTGTTTAGGAGGGTAGAAAAGTTTTATAAGAGTGTGCGGAGGGTTTTTATGGTTTTAAATATATAAAAATAATAAAATAAACATGGTTTTTACATTCTAGAACGTAACCCCTCGGATAATTGCGGGATAATTACTGTAATTAGTTTTTTCATATGTGCCTACACTACATGTGTAGCATTCATGCAATTGTTGTATAAAATTCCTTTAAATGTTTAATAAATAATGCAAAACTTCCTTGGCGAATGTAGCTATTGTCGAAAAAGTGGTTCTGTCATTATGCTCGATAGGCTTCATAGGTGCTTTTGCCAGATGAGCGCACTCATCTTTTCACCCTATGCCCTGCTTAATCTTTACCACCAATATCCATCCAATCTCCTTCCCCATACAGCACCCTCAGTGAGGCACAGAAAGCCAGCTTAACCCACTTTAACCAGTTTCAATAGAGTAAATTATTTCTTATTTTTAGGTATAACACTAAAAAAAGAAGGAAAAGCCAGACTGAATCCAGGTGCAGTGTGTGTCTTGTGACTAATGATGGCTTATAACAACATCGTAAATGTCACATTTGGCCTTTACACATGGTTGCTTATTAGTCATTCAGTTAATTGTTTACCAGTTGTTGAAGAGGAAACCAAGGCCGTCTTAAGATAAACTAAGGGTCAAAGACGGTGTGACTTGAGATGTTTTTCAGCTACTGCTGGCTGTCACTTACTTCAGGTAAACGATCTGGAAGACATGGCGATTAAATCGGGGGACGTCTGTACCTCTGCGCTCTGTAAATACACTTAACTTAGATGTGTCAGCCAGTGATAGAAGTGATAGAAAAACTCAGATAAAATGGAATAATCATGTTGCGTGACTGTAGATCAGTGCTTTGATACAGATGTATCTGTAGTAGATGCTACCTGAGGTCAGTCCACAGGTCAGCCAGAGTTGTTTTACAGCAAGTCCTAAGGCTGTAAAACAATAAATCAAAGACATTTCTCCGAAGTCAAGGTAAATTTGTTCAGCCTATACCTTTAGGAAAAAGTCATGTCAGTGCATATCTATAAGAGGTGGCCTGAAAGTACTAAAGGTTAATGTTAAACCCCAAACTTTGAACATGAGTTGAATGGGAGAAGTCAACATTTCTTGATCATAACCAGAAAATCTAGAAATTGTGCCTTTAATTACTAATTTAAACAGCGTTATCCTCACGTTCTCTTAAAGCACTCAATAACTGAGAAATGATTATGTAGAGCAGAAGTTCTCACATTGTTGATGACAGCTGTGAGAAGAAAGTGAGTCCTTCTGTCACCTTGTATAATGAGCTGAGTGAGTGACTGATGACAGTGAAAGGGTTACTGGGATGTGGGAAGAAACTGTAGGAAGTATTCGAGAAACTTAATGAAATTCTGAAATATGGATGACTAAATATGCCACAATCAAAGTTACAGTTGAGGAAAAACAGCAGTAGTTTAGCCAAAATTAGAAAAAAATATGAATGAATGAAAATCTGATTTTTACTTTGTTTATTGTTGATAAAGGTTTTTCTGTTACAAGTTACTGATGATTGCACAGCCAAACCATGGAATCAAAGTCTTTATTTCAAAGATATAAGAAAGAAATGTTAATTTACAAAAGAAATAAATGAACATGAAATAAAAGAAAGCTATCATATTCACGTTTCACGTCAAACTTTTAAATGTCTCTCTGCTGCAACACAGCTGAGTGAAAATGACTCATTAACAAGACTCTGTAGGACTTGACTGCATGCTAAATAAATTTAAGTGTTTGGAAAATTGTATTTCTAAAAATACTATTATTGTACCATGTTCATTCACTAATGAGCTGCTGTAACATGAATCAAATGACTGAATTGCCACTTCAGCATGTAGTCAAGTTTTTCTAATGACCTACTAATTTTATTAGGGTGTTCTGCAGCAGGGATACATAGAAAAGTTTCAGGACACTGGCCCTCGAGGACTGGAGTCTGACACCCGTGCTTTAGGTCATTATATGCCAGGGGTGGGTAACTCCAGGCCTCGAAGGCCAGTGCCTTGCAGGTTTTAGATCTCACCCTGGGTCAACACACCTGAATGAAGTGATTAGTTCATTACCAGGCCTCTGAAGAACTTCAAGACATGTTGAGGGGGTAATTTAGCCGTTTGAATCAGCTGTGTTGGATCAAGGACGCATCTAAAACCTGCAGGACACCAGCCCTTTAGGCCTGGAGTTCCCCCACCCCTGTTATATGTGTATAAGTTTTCATTATACAATCAAATCTATACATATATGTGCGAAATAAATATACTTATCGAATACACAGGCTTTTTTAGATTAATATATATATTAGTGCTGCCAGCGTTAATCTCATTAAAATGACGTTAAACGCCATAACCGCATTAACGTGGCAAATCTCTGTTAGCGAGTTACTGCGGATCGCGTGGGGCTTCACGGCGTCAACGCGTTAAAATATCTTTATATATATATCTGTATACACTGATCAATAATTATTTAAATACACATATCTAAAAGTATTGCTTTTTATATACACAAATATCCATATTTAATGTAAAGCATGACCATTAAGCACCCTGCCTCATCCATATACTGATTTAGAAGTGCTTTTTTTAAATATAATTTTTTTTATTTGTGTAAAAATAAATTAATTAATAAAAAAATAAGGAAACAACAACCATGGAAACCAATAGTTGTCCATAATTTTCTTACAACACACACACACACACACACACACACACACACCTGTTTTTGTTTAGTTCTTCTCTGATGTTTGGTCAGCGATCAGTAATAGAAACATGACCCTCACCAGTCAGGACATTCATTCAGGATGACATTGGATGTAAGCAAAGCCGGCATGCAGCCCACTTGAGCGAAACTGAATTTCTTTTCCATCACCGAGTTATTGTATACCTGTTTGTGTGCCAGTGTCAGGCTCAGGGTTAGTAGGTGAAAGTCAGCCGGTGTTGCGAGCTCACATGACTGTCACACGTCTGTGTATTCTTGCTCCGTACGTACTTTAGCAAACTGATTGACTGAGTTTTGGATGAAATCTTTGAAGCTTGCTGTTAGCAAGTAAAGGATAAATATGTTATGAAGCACCTCCCCAGGACATTTTCCTACCCTTCGATGAACTATAAGTGCTGTTTGGTCCATCTGTTCCTTACCAAAGTTAAATATTGCTTTGTGTTAAGGTTGTGTAAACAGAAGGAAACTGGTGGTATTGCTTTGTGAACAAAGAGCTGCTTTTCCCATGATTATCGTCTTAATACAGTGGGGAGACGATAATTTTATTTCTGAAACTGGCTGCTGAACGGCTAACTTTATTAAAAGTAAAATGTAAACTTTACTCTGTTTTATTTAAATTTTTATGAACTTTCTCAAAGAATACTTCACTTTGTGTCTGGGCAGTCTGGTCAAATGAAAACACGTTTGCTTCGTGTGAGCACTAATTACATTTCTTATGTTCTTTTTTTTTTTTACCCCTCCCCTCAACCCCCCAGGGTTTTTTTCGCCGGACCATCCGTCTGAAGCTGGAGTATGACAAGTGTGAACGTCGCTGCAAAATCCAAAAAAAGAACCGCAACAAGTGCCAATACTGCCGCTTCCAGAAGTGCCTGTCAGTGGGAATGTCCCACAATGGTGAGTCCTGGGCAGTGCTTCGAGCTCAGAAGCACACATCCACACGTCCATCTTGCTTGTTACTTGTAAACACAGACTACTTAACAGAGTAGCACAGTTGTGCTGCTGCCAGGGAAGATTGAACAGGCACGTACCCACATAATTAGCACAAATAAGCCATCAGACAGTTGGGTGTTCAGATGCATGTTAAGGCAGGTCCCTAACTGACACCTAATTCAGGCGAATATAGATTTATATGTCGTCTTCATTTAACCTTTGGACAATTTCCACTCTTTTTATTCAGAAATAGACCAGAAACAAACCTGCATATGGAAGGCACGCCCGTTCTCTGTCTTGGCAGTGCTAGTATCACATTGCATTATAATTACATTGGCTGAAACTGCTTGACCCATTTGGTGCAGATGTGCAAACAGGAAGGGAAAATCACATGACCTTGTGCGTCCCTCCACCCGATTTTTTTTATTTTTTATTTCCAGCTTGCAAATACCTGGCGCTCACTAATAGTCCGATTTTGTGCAAATTTAGTACATGGAGAACATCAGGAGAGCAAATTATTAAGAGTTTAAGTGGTTCTCACTATTGCTAATTTATCACCGTTACTAGTTCGTTGAACTTCCGCATAGTTCTATTCACTTGGACACTGAAAAGAAATCTTGTGTTTTGCAGCAATAACCTCTATTTCTGTCTGTGTGTGAGGGGAGATATGCATGTTGGAACACAAGGATTTCACAATTGGAAAAGCTTAAAAGATTCCCTCCTTGGTGTGGGCTGTCTTTCTTTTAAATACAAAAATATTGTGTGAAATGATATTTACACTCAAAATATTGCACGTCATGTTGACCCTGGGCTAAGGTCATTGTGCTGATCGAAAACATGAGTGTATGTGTTTGTATGAGTGGACTTCTGCTAAAGGTATCAATGCAGCCAGTCCGTGCACACAGAGTGTGTGCACACTTTGCCGATATTCCACGCTGGTGGTAGCAAACCTGTGGACGTGTAACAGATTTGATTTCTCTCTGGAGAGATTGACCGAATATAGCCTTCTCTGTTGAGATATAGTTTAGGTTACCCCTCCTCTTATGGTTTATGTTATTGACTTCATTGAGCAAAATGTAAGCGAGTACAGGAACTTGAGGGTATGTGAGACCGTCGCAACCTTACAACCTGATCTTTGGAGGTGTGGTGACACCAGAGGACCACAGCACGGCTATTTTTGTATGTCTCTTTGTATCGATTTAGAATCATTTACAGTAGCCACAAGTATTGCATTTTATTTTATTTTTTTAAATTTCAAATGTAAACCGATCAGACATTCAAAGTTAAAGCGTCAACAGAAAGGTGAAGAAGTTTAGAATAAAAATGGTTACATTTACATTTCAGTCTCAGCATGTAGTTTATGTAAAAGTCTTTATTTCCAAAACGTAATCGAAAAAAGGACTGGTACACCGATCAGGCAGTGATCAGACTCATCTGTTAGTGGGTGGGATATATCAGGGAGCAAATGAACATTTTGACCTTGTAGTTGACATGTTAAAATCAGGAAAAACGGGCAAGTGTGAGAATTTGAGCAAGTTTGACAAGAGCCGAATTGTGATGGCTAGACGGCTGGGTCAGAGCATCTCCAAAACTGCACCTCTTTTAGGGTGTTTCCAGTCTGCAGCGGTCAGTATCTGTCAAAGGTGATCCATGGAAAGAACAGTGGTGAACCAGTGACAGGATGATTGACGCACATGAGGAGTGAAGGATCGCCAGTGTGGTCCGGTCTAACAGACAAGCTATTGTAGCTCAAATTGGTGAAAAATATTTAATGCTGATTCTGATAGAAAGGTGTCAGAATACACAAATGAGTCAGGGATGGGCAGTCAGATTTTTTTTGTCTTTTGGGTCCTGCCATCCATGTGGATGTTACTTCACGCATACCGCCTACTTAAGCAATACTGCAGACCACGTGACCCTTTCATGGAGGCGGAATTCCCTGATGGCCTCTTTCAGCAGGATAATGCACCCTGCCACAAAGCAAAAATGGTTCAGGAATGGTTTGAGCACAAGTTTGAGGTGTTTGATCCATGGAGGCCTCACCTCTCAGCTTTGAGGACTTAAAGGATATGGTGCAAACATCTTGGTGCCAGATATCACAGCACACCTTCAGGAGTCTTTCCCTGAGGAGCCGGGCTGTTTTTAGCAGCCAAAGAGGACCAAGACAATATCTAGGCAGGTGGTCATAATGTTATCCTTCATCATGGTATATAGTGCTTTTCTACTCTAAATGAACACTCAAAGTACTTTTTTAATACAAGCTTCATTCACCCAAAAATACACACATCGCACTTTTCTTTACCCAAACACTTTGTTTCTAAGCATTGCAACAGCACAAAAACTCTTTATTAGCAAAAGGGACTGAAAGTTTTCTCAAATCCAGCAACTTATTTCCTCACGCATTTCATTTGCTGACAAGACGCAGACGGCTCAGCAGACTGACGGACTGACCCCTGCCCACCTTCAGCTCCCTTCCACACTTATCCCCTCATACTGTTGCTTAGGAATTAGACTTACACGAAGCTTAGCATCAATCACTTCCTCACATCTTAATTGGACTTGGCTCCTGGCCAGGCGCCCACTGTGGAGCTTTACTAGCTTCAGATGATCCATCCACATTCTGAGCAGTAATCTAACGGGCCCTCGTGCTGCCTGCCAGCTCAAAGTCTCATCCTTTCGCAGTCCTCTTCAGTATGCTCGGATTCATTTTGTAAGCAACCATCAATAAATATCTGATGGGTTTTTTTAATGCTTTTACAGGCTCATAAAAAACAGGCAGTTAGTACAGCTGGTCTCCTCACACAGACGTGCAGATTTGTGTGTGAGTAAAACAGCTTGTGCACATTTAAACTAGTGAAGAGGGGTTGGAAATAGTTCACCTCTAATCTCATTAGTCAAATGGGATCAGACAGTCTGAGCGATGCCAGCATCCTCTCATAGAGAAATAGCGCTTATTAACACATGTTGTTGAAGAACATTTCAAGCAAATGTTGCCCACTTTGTAATTTGTGCTAACTTATGTCATTACTGTAATGCATAAAAAGTCCATTTGCCTTTCAATGGCAAGCAGACATGTTTACTGTCTCTTTTTTTTCTTCTTATCCTTGCACAATGTTTCATATAGCACAGGATATTTCTGATGCACTGAAAATTGTTACATATTTGACTGAACCTTCTATGGTAAAGTGTTTTTCCTGACCTTTTAAACTGTTTTTGTTGCTGTAGATTTATTGTACGTGTTCGGGCATAGCGAGATGTTTTGGCAAAAGCCAGGGGAACTAAATTGACTTCATGAAACAAGTCTCTTGTTTCTTCGATGTTTGTACTTTCATCCGGCTATAAGCCACTGAATTTAAGCTGGCACTGAGACGGGCAGATACAAGTTAAATTACATCTTTGATTGAGCTCAGCATTGGACGTTTATGGTGTTATCGTGGAATGTGTTCTGTTGTGTTCAGCTATAAATGCCGTTTTAACTTGTCCATTCCATCTGTGTATTCTCTTCCACTAAATTCATCCTGTGCTTGTATGTTATTCAAGAGTCCCTTCTTTAGAATACAATATAAGGCTGTCTGCACATCCTCTGTGGTGTTTGGCAACAGATATGCAAATTCAACAGCTTTTTGAATTTGCAGAAATTGTTTATATTTTCTGGATACATTTAATATTTTGCCTTCATTTTTAAGTTTGCTTGAAACAGTTGTATTTAGCAAGGTGCTTTTACTGGAACTGCACTTGGTGTAACTGAAATAAATCTATGACTCGACACTTTTATGTCACCAAAAAGTCATCTCCATCTCTCTGTGTGCTGTCCGCAGCCATCCGGTTTGGTCGGATGCCCCAGTCAGAGAAGCTCAAACTAAAGGCGGAGATGGTGACGGTGGACAAAGAGGTGGAAAACCCCCAGCTAGCTGACCAGAAGACCCTGGCCAAGCACATTTATGAGGCTTACCTGAAGAACTTCAACATGAACAAGGCCAAGGCTCGATCCATTCTCATGGGCAAGACCAACACTGCTGTACGTTGATTAGTGAGTAAAGTAATGGGTTGGTGAGTGAAAAGTGTTGCACATGTGGACCTCATATTCGCACGTTCTTCCATTTCCAGCTTTTCCTCATAGTGCGAGGTCATGTGGTTTTGTAACTTTTAATTTATTTTTTCATGTCTCAATATGACCTGGCAATCACTCCCTTAGAGATTAGACACAGCCAGCCAATGACAAAAATAAGTTGCTCAACCAGCGGAGCAATTCAGCACACAGGATGGGCAAGGACTTACTTAAGCCTGTTACTTAGCCTTTCACTGTGCATTTCCCTTAATGTGTATGTTCTTTTTATCACCCATTCCCATTCACCCTAAAAGCATTCCCCCCTCCGATGTGCTTCTTTCCTACCGAGGGGGATAAAAAGCGGGGGGCTAGAAAAGGAGAGGTTCATGGACTGCAGCCCAGAGAGTCTGAATTCCATGGATGGATGTGTAGGTGTAAAATAGGTCAAGAGGGACAGATCGGTCCAAGCGCTCATCCAAGTTCAGGCACAGATCTTATCCACTGCTTCAAAGCTCCTGATGAACAAGCAGAGTGGGTAGAAAGTACTCAGTGACTGATTATTGTTTAACCTACCTTTGCTATCGCAGCGCTTTTACACAACTCGTAACTGCCCATAAAAGTCTTGTTGTAATCTCAATAATGTACATCTCAATAAGTCTCATCAAATTTAACTTTACTCATACAGAGACTATTAAATATACATGTGTATATATATGTCTTGATCTGGATACAAATGCTTGTCACTTCAACCCAGGCCTAAAGGTCTCACCAATGAGTAAATAGCAAGTTTCTGCATTCTGAAAACTTTAAAAGTGAAGATTAGTATCTCCCCCCTGCTTTGACGTGTTACTCCACTGCAGCGTCTTCTGTTTAGAAAACAATTCAAATGATTGCAATGCCAGTACACATTTGTGTAGTTCATGTGGCAAGCAGTGATATAATATAAGGACAGTTCCTGAAAAGTGTATCGTGTGACAAATTGGAATCAGCAACAAGTTGTGGAAAACACTAGTTTTGCTATTTCACTTAAGAGAAATAGAAAGACGCTTTTTAAAAGAATTCCACCTATTTAGTCTTTCTTTTAATGCATCACAATAATAATTCTAGCGAGTTTTACTCAAAAATATGTTGTGCTCAAAAAGCAGAGTATACACGCTTTGACTTCTGGAGCTGTGAACCTTTTTTGATCTTCTCCTCATCTGAACCTCCGTTATCAAATCAAGGAATGTTAGCATGACGTAAAAGTACAAAATTAACCACCTCAGCGTTGTGTTGCGCATACCTTCCCTTGTTACTCTAGCCCACAGTTAGAGCAGCATTCATGAGTCAGAGCTCCGATGTGCAGCAGCAGGTGTAAAGCTGTTCATCGAAATGCTGTAACTTGTCCTCTGTGGGAACAGTGACATAACCGAAACACCCGTTAACTGCCCACAATGCTTTTGTATGGTTTCTGTACAGGTACACTCACTGTAAACAGACCTCTTGACAGGGCACTGGGCACAGTGTCAACATTTAAAATTTTAGACATTTTGAATTAAACTCTGTGTTCACGCTGCATTTCTTTGAGCTCTAACTGTGCCTTCAGTTGTGGATATTGTGAGTAACATCTAAATTTTTTTTTTTAATTGTCTTGGTCGATGATTTCGTTGTTGTGACAATGCTTCTTGGAAATTAATTTTATACTGTTGGAAAGCCTGTTTGTTTGCCCAACAATGGTGCCAGAAAATGACAGAAAATGCATTTGTGGGTTGCGCATATGAAAAACAAAAAAAACCCCAAAAGCCAAATCTTTACGTTCCAGATTTACTGCCAAGAACAGTTGTTACAACAAAGAAATAATTGATCAAACACAAATTTCCTTACTTTTTGTGCGAGGTTTATAATTATAGTTACCTACAATCATATATTTCTTATTTTTCTATATAAATATAATTGAATTCAGCAGAACTTCAAGCACGTAATAGTGAGCTGGTTTTTCTCAAGCACCGAAACAGCTCTGACTCAGGGCATGGATATGGGACCTCTGTGGGTGTCCAGCGGTTTTTGGCACTAGAACATTGGCGACGGATCCTCTGGGCCACATGTCCCCGCTTGGTTCACTCGGATTTGGAATTAGTGGAATGTGTGCATCAGCATCTAAGTTTAAGTAAGTTTTAGCTGTTCAAGTAACTTCCACATGAATTCAAGCATTGCGTTGTGATGAGATGATCACTGTTGCACTTTGTGCCTGTTTGTGGGTTTAATGATGTGGCTGGTGTGTGTGTGTAGCAGGAAAATGAAGGACAGTACGCGTGTCATCGCGGAAACAAAACATTCAGATGTCAATAAGGGCTCTAGGCTTAGCCTTTCCTCTCAGTGAAGATTATGATCTGTAAACACTCCAGTCAGTCAGTTATTCACGTTGGCAAGTTTGCTGAGTCGGCATGTTCCATGTCAGGTCTCGTCTGTCACGAATCGTCTTTTGTTAACAGGCCAAAATCCCAGTTCTCGCTTCTATAACCTCTGTTGCATTTCAGCTGAGACACATTTTTAACAAAGCATTATATTTTTAGTTTTATAGTGACGTGTATTTCCCTACCATCCACAGCCTTTTGTCATTCACGACATGGAGACCCTCCAGCTGGCAGAGCAGACACTGGCGGCCAAGATGGTCGGCTCCGTGGGAGCGATGAAGGACAAGGAGGTGGAGGTTCGGATTTTCCACTGCTGCCAGTGCACGTCGGTGGAAACCGTCACGGAGCTCACAGAGTTTGCAAAGTCCGTCCCCGGGTTCTCGAGCTTGGACCTCAACGATCAGGTGACTCTTTTGAAATACGGAGTGTACGAAGCCATTTTCGCCATGCTTGCCTCCAGTATGAACAAGGATGGGCTTCTTGTAGCGTACGGCTCAGGCTTCATCACCCGGGAATTCCTCAAGAGCCTGCGTCGACCGTTCAGCGACATGATGGAGCCAAAGTTCCAGTTTGCCATGAAGTTTAATGCGCTGGAGTTGGACGACAGTGATCTGGCTCTCTTTGTGGCTGCCATCATCTGCTGTGGCGGTGAGGAAATTTGTTGCATGCATTCTTCAGTATCCTATAAAATCCTTTTTACATTACAAAAGATGATGATGTTTCTCTCATTTTCATTTTGGCTAGACCGGCCAGGCCTGGTGAATGTGGCACACATCGAGGTGATGCAGGAGAGCATCGTCCAGGTCCTGCAGCTCCATCTGCTGGCCAATCACCCCGATGACACTTTCCTCTTCCCCAAGCTGCTGCAGAAACTAGCTGACCTGAGGCAGTTAGTCACTGAGCACGCACAGCTTGTGCAGGAGATCAAAAAGACAGAGGACACCTCACTGCATCCGCTCCTGCAGGAGATCTACAGAGACATGTACTGAAGACTTTGGAGGTATAACCACAGTAGGAAAACAAGAAACCATCTCCTTCTGAGCGGGGACTTGAAAAGAAGAGGAGACGTCCACATACTGGGTTTGAACCACTTAACCTCTGACCCTAAAGGGTTAGCTTTGGTGTCTGTCCAGTGTAAGGGAACCTAAAGGTGAAGAAAAAGGAGGCTGATGATTCATTTGATTTGACAAAGTGCTTTCCACTTCATTGTGTGTGAATCTTATCAGGCAGAAGAATCATGTATGCTAAGATACTTTGTACAGCTGATTGAGCCCCTGTCCAGACACCACTGAATGCAATCTCTGACCAAACTCTAAATGTTCTTTTTTCCATATTTTTTTTAAAACGTCTGTAAGGTCACCTCCTTGGTGGAACCCTGAGGTAACCCTAATTTGAAGAACAAAAGTGAACTTTATAATTGCCACTCCAGCCGATTGTTTTACAGCAACGAGCCATATGCCCGAATAACTTAATAACAGCAGCAATTATGCAGTTTAAATCAAGGCAGCTTCTCCTCAATTGGCTACCAAAATGTGGCCGGTTGAGGAGCCAGTGGTTATGAGCACGCCAGCCCGCCACCGTGATTCTCAAGCTTTTCTGTGGAGTCACGTCCTGAACATAACCATTTTATCTGTACGTCATGTCCCCGAAGTCATACTTCTTAATGACACAGTAGAAATTGCCATCATCATTATTATTATTATTTTATTTTATTTTAATATTCTTAACAAGAAATACGACTTAGTGCTTAAGTTGTCCACAAACTGTACTGGGAATGCTATTTTTTTTTTTCTTCAAATTAGGTAGCAGTGCCCAAAGTTCAGACTCACTGTGTACATGCACCACAATGCACTGAAGCACAAGCATGCCTGTGATATGTTAATGTGACACTTTTCTAATGGAGGTTTCAAAGGACAAAAAAGACATACACAGGTGTTTAGCACTCCCTCCTGATGTGTGTTCTGGTATTAAAGGGCTAACACTGTTATTAACCACAATACAACTCTGACACGGGCGACACATGAATTCACTCAGCGAATCTCTCTCTCTCTCTCTCTGTTATTGTGTTTAACTGTCTGTTTGGTCCTCATAACACACGTGTTAGTTAAGATTTAACAATCTTATGTGCACATTTTTCCCTGATGAAAATGTAATTGTTTTTATTTTTCCCAGCTAAGAGAAAACCACAGTGATGAGGCCTCATTGGTGAAACATCTAGTTTGTTAGTTGAAAGGTTGTCACACTTTCATTTGTTTAGTTTTCTCTGTGAAATCACTTGGCCAGTTATAGAAGACCGTCAATCTGGACGTATGCAGGTAAAAGAAAAATGAGTCCGTAGCCCTTTTCCTACTCAGTTATTCTCTGGCTTTGGTGTTTTTTGCTATCTAACAAAATAGGGACATTTCCATGTGAAAGTGCCGCTCCTGCATTTTGTTGTCACACTGCCTTTAATATAAAATACATACGGTGGACATCAGAGGACCTATGTTAAGGGAATGCTGAAAACATGCATAGTTTTCTGATAGTTCGGATCATACACATCTGACTCTCTGTGAGAGGGCGCTACTCCTTTTCTGCCTCATCACTCACACTGTCCTGAAATGATCATTGAATTCAGAGAAATGTTCCTTATGTTTGTAACACATCGCAACATCAGAGCGGGCTTTACATAACTGAAGCTTTCACACTGACTGCTCACCCCAGCTTTTAACTCTCGTGGTAAACAAGGTACTAATGATGATTGACTTTTGTATTCGTAAGTTGGGTGAATACTTTCAGATGTTTGAATATTTACAGTAAATGTTGTTATCTACTGTTTTGTTTTGTTCTTGGTCTAAATGCGTCATGCTTGTCTTTGAATCGAATCGTATTTTTATACTGAAGTATGAATATATAATATATATATAACAAAATCTCACATGTGTTTAGTTGAAATGGCACAGCTGAAGAGTACATTGTAAATAGACTTAAGGTGTAACAGGGCAACTGGTAATCTGCATATCCATAGATCTGAATTTTTGAAATGGAGAGTCATCTAGACCATAATGTGCATTCAGTTCCTTCAAGTTGCACTTCGTTTATCTGTCGAATTAAGCACTAGAATTTTAAACTGTAAGCATGCATGGTCTGCGCAGGGCTACACTAGCTTACATGTTTGAGTGGTTAGTTATAAACTTGACCTCTGTGACCTTTTGATTACCATGAAGAGTAAAAAGGAACAAAACATTTCATAGGAAATGTGAAGGCACAGCTTAGCACTGATCATCCAGTACTAATCCCTTCTTCTAATGCTTCTATCTCAGGTTGTACATAAGAAAACAAAGGGGGTAATATATGCACAGATTGGGGGGGTGGGGGGGGTCACATAATATCTCTGTTGGTTTATAGAGAAACTGAATGCACTCGTAATGTAATTTGCCATTAAATCACATGCTATAGCAGTAAATGTGTTGCAGTAATGAGAAAAACACGTATATTGTTTTACAATTCTGATCTCATCGTGCTTTTTCTCTTTGTTTTTGTCTGACTTTTCTCACTCGCTGCTATATTGTACTAACTTACCAAGCATTTCTTATGCCATAAGTAGATTACTGATCTTTAAACTGCCTCTACTTGCATATATCTGGTCACAGAATGTCAGACCCACTTCAGCGCAGCTCAGTTTTTAACCTTGCAGATTTCCTGGGACTCGCTCATCCCAGGTGTGCTCGGGGAAAAAACCACAAACCTGTGTGTGCCTTAGTGTGTGCCATAAAACACCAGATTTAAAAAAAATAAATAAAATAAAAAAAGTTTCTTGCACACACACTTGTAAACTGTTGGCATCTTCAGCTAGATTTAGCTGTTTGTGACACAAAAGGGTCCCACAGGCTGGAAAATAATGTCACTGTACATTCTATACAATGTGCACCCTTCTGGGCAGTAACAGTGAAGGATTTGCTTTTCAAAAATACAGACTTTTTAAATGTTAAACATAAAAAAAAAACTGCTAGAAACTTTATCAACAAGGCAACTCAAAATGTCAACAAGATGTCATGTAAATTTGCAAAGTCAGCTTTCCCTTAAGAATGTCTTTTTTGTGTGTTGAACTGTCAAGGGACTTTTAAACTTTTATCAGGGAATCGTAGTCTTCCTTTGTTGAACTAGCTCAGGATATAGGACAGTACTGTTTTCCCTTCCTCATTCACTCTGGAGTGAGTATAGAGTGCTCTGCCTTACAATACGCATACACCAACAACAATACAGATTAAGATTACCTTTATTTTTGTTTTTCCTGAACTGAAAGAAAGAAAAGAAAAACTTGGGCTTACTTGGGGCAGCAGTTATAGGATTTAGAAACGTGATTTTTTTTCTCTCCTGAGTTAAACTTGTTTCTGTGGCTGTAGTGTCATGCAAAGAGACCATGGAGTCTCCCTTTCGATGTGTCGTTAATGTGTACTGTGGCTTGATAACAATACTGTAAATGTTTGATGAATGTATATTTAGTCATTTAAACGATGAAACAAATTGAGATTGAATGGATTTAAAAATAAAGTGATTTTAAAATCTGCTACGTATCGTGTGTTCAGACTTTAGTAGGTAACGCCAGTCAGTGCAAGTTATTTTTATTATAACATTGCCTTATTTACTTTTTATACCAGAGCTAGGTTTCTAGTTCAGATGCATCTTTACGACACCAAGATGTGCACATACAAAACCAAGGTGCCATCAACAAGACAGCTGAGGGACATTTAACCACATATTAGATGAGCTGTATTTACGTATACTTTTGATCCTGTGGGTCATTTTAAAACGGGTGACTCCAGCAAACTGGTAGTCCAAACTGCAGAACCCTGGATTTGCTGCTGAGCCTTTTCTTTATGCCCAATTCATCCATGACTGTCAACCTTCCCATGTGACAAACACCATTAGTTCACACAACGGTCTTTGGCCTGATCTCCAGTTATGATGAGACTGCATACAGAGATAAAGTGCAGAACCTAATGGCACGGTGCACCACTAACAACCTCACCACACACACTGTCTCCTTGGTAGCAAAACCAAGGAGATTGTGGTGGACTTCAGACCGTCTAAGACATAGGTGTCAAACTCTGGCCCGCAGCCTAATTACATTTGGCCCGCGAAGCCATACCAAATTACTATTAGAGCTGGCCTACTGGTATTATACAGCTAATATATATATATTGTTTAGTATTAAGCTTTGCTTGTTCCATATTCAGTTTTCCAGCAAAACTTATTTGAGTCCATAAGAAAAGATTCATTCCTATATCTGGAGGAAGATTTTTTTTTAATAAATATTAATGTTATCCCGCGACTTTGTTCCAGTTTTGAATTTTGGCCCACTGTGTATTTGAGTTTGACACCCCTGGTCTAAGAGAACAGACACAGGTCCTGTGTACATCAACAAAGAGGCTGTTGAAAGAGCCTATAACTCTAAATTCCTCTGTGTGCATATTAAAGATGAACACTCTTGGTCCAAGCAAAGTAATTTCGTTGTTTTGCTTCCCTGCGCATCAGAGGGGGAAAATAGCTCAAAGAAATCATTAAAAGTCCAAACTGACCACAGCATTCATGCCCACGATGAGTAGGGGAGACCGGGGATAGTTGTAACATTTTTGACATTTCTGTCTGTAAATTGGAGCTCGTTGAAGGTAGTGGATTCAAAATGTAATGCAAAGTATTTACATGTCTCTGCTATTAAATAGTGCTGCTATTTTCTCTGCAGCACAATTACCCATTGCATGGTATGGTCTCAAACACGAAGAGTGAAATGTTACAATTAACCCCATAGTCTGGGTTAGTTGTAACATATCCTGGGGTGAAATGTAACACAATGAAATAAGGGTACTAACAAAACATTAACATGTAATCTTTGTTTATTCAACACATGAATGCACTTACATCCATTTATGTAGCTCTATGTGTGTGTGTGTGTGACAGAATGCAGAAATCTAGCTTTTGAACATATTCCAACCCCCCAAAAAAGACATATTATGGAATTTTCTGCAACTGAATATTTCATTAATTTTGGTTGGTCTTCCTTGAGTTTGGCCTCATTGGCTCAGTGGGCATTATAACCTACAACTCTTGCACCAATTTTGAACATAACAATGAAGCTGAAAAAATGTAGTTGTTCACCAGCATCGCAATTCCATTACTTTTTATCCTGGCTTACCTTGGTGTGGTTTGCAGAGTGCTTCAGAAAGATGAGGAAATCTGTTTCTTGCACCCATCCTGATTTATTTCCACTACCAGTACTTCCTACTGGTCCATCTCTGACACAGTGATCTGCATAATGTATGTGTGGGAACACAAACAGTGGAGGAATTGTGTTGCCACTGGCATTAACCGCATATACAAATGCGACCAGTGAACCTCTCTCTGCTGATGTCGTTGCCCCAACTTGTTTAATATGAGTTAAAGTAATAGTGTGGTAAGTTGTAACATCTGCATTATTGTTACAACTAACCCAGACTGTTGCTGTTACAACTGACCCAGACTCCTATAGCCATGAACTAGCTAACATTACAGCCAACGGCTAAAACATTAGCACTAAAGACCTACACAGAATATATCCCCATAGACATACAAATAACATAATTTAAGTTTGATGAGTTTAACTGCAAAGCAGATAATGCTATTAGAAATTGAAATAAAGTAGAAAAACTTACTTTTTGGCATACAAATTACTTTTTTTCATGTTAAATTGTCTGTGTTTGACAAAATGTGCTGATTTTTCACATGTGATAGCAGAACTGAATTGGGCATGCACAGGATGAGTCACATCATTTGAAACTTAGCCCTGATTGGAGAAATTGGAAGTGTTACAACTGACCCACGTTACAACTATCCCCGGTCTCCCCTATATGTAAACTGCAGGTAGTACACCCAAGCGTTTCCTTGAGAACCACCGCACCAGAGGGCGCTCTGCTCCTACCAAACGACCCAAGCTTCTACTCAGTTCCACCTCCGTGTTCTTGTCACATTGTCCAACATGGCTGCGTCCATGGTGGGTATCTGCTGTTATGTGTGGCGGCGTGGATCTTGTAATCTTCTCGGGCCAGCCACTCTTTGCCTCACACTCAGGTCTAAATTTCACTCTTCTTCTTCCGCGCACCACGGGCTGCTTCTCTCTCTGCACAAACGCGGCGTTCTGAAAGGCTCATTCCCAGAAAACGCAGCCCAAGAGCAGCTCCCCCGGCTGCTCCAGTCCGGTGCTCAGACGGTATACTGCGGATTTGACCCCACAGCCGACAGTCTCCATGTGGGGAACTTGCTCGCTCTCATCGGCCTGCTGCACTTCCGAGGCGCCGGACACCATGTGATCGCGGTGCTCGGAGGAGCCACGGCACAAATCGGAGATCCGAGCGGGAAGACGAGCGAGCGGGAGCAGCTGTCCGCGGACGTGGTGGAGGCGAACACCCACAGCATCCGGGAGAGCATTCAGAGGATCTTCACCAACCACGAGCTGCACTTTCACGACGGTTCCAGGCCGCTGGGAACCGTGACTGTTCTAAACAACCTGAGCTGGTATAAGAACTGGGGCGTGGTGGGGTTTCTGTCGGAGGCTGGAAGACACTTCAGGATGGGCACCATGCTCAGCCGCCACAGCGTGCAGTCCCGGCTAAAGAGCGCCGAGGGCATGAGCCTGACAGAGTTCACCTACCAGGTGTTCCAAGCTTATGACTTCCACCACCTGAACCAAATATACGGCTGCAAGATTCAGCTTGGAGGCACCGACCAACTGGGCAACTTGATGTCTGGCCATGAGTACATTCACAAGTAAATGTTTTTCCAAGCCCACTACTGTTACAGTACTGGGCTAATTAATTCATAATTACCTGTCCCTGATAAGCCTGCAGTCCACCTTTTGAAGCAGGACTAGGCTATTTTTGTGTGGATAAACCCTGCATGTATTTCAGACTCCATTATAAAATCTGCAAATTCACTGTATATTCTTGATCATTAGATGCACATACATCAAATTGTTTTGAGACATTAAGTTCTACACCCAATTATACCACCAAAATGTTTTTGGGTTGGGTTTTTTTTTTTTTTTTTGCCTGTCTCTCTACCAACCAAAACACATACATGCCTGCCAGATTTACCCTGAAGGCTGCCTTGAAACACTGAAAACGTTATTTTTCTCCAGAGTAAGCGGCGAGGAGGTGTACGGCCTGACCATCCCGTTAGTTACCAGCACTGTCGGGGACAAGCTGGGGAAAACTGCAGGCAATGCAGTGTGGCTCAACAGAGATAAGACGTCACCCTTTGAACTCTACCAGTTCTTTCTCAGGCAGCCTGATGCCAGTGTGGAAGGGTATGTATAAGTGAAGGCTGATCATGTTTGTTGAGTTTTAATGAAAGTGCAATATCCACAAACGTCTCATCGCAACCCTGTTTTTATCCGAAAGTAAGTATTCGGTGCACAGTCATAGGATGCTGAGGTGTACTGTGTGGGCTGTTTTTTTTTTTTGTTTTGTTTTTTTGTAGGTATCTGAAGTTGTTCACCTTTCTGCCTTTGGCGGAGGTAGAGAAACTGATGGAGCAACAGAGAGAAGATCCAAGTAAACGCCTCGCCCACAAAAGACTGGCTGCTGAAGTGACAAAACTGGTGCATGGAAAGGAGGGCCTGGAGACTGCAAAGAGGTTAGAATTGATCTGTGTGTTTATTCCCCTAAATTATACATTTTATTTTCTTGAATCCTCATCTAGAGCTCTTTTACGCTGTAACTTATTAGAGTCAAAGTGCATTGTGTTTAGAACAGCAGGACTATGCTCTGCCAAAAAGTGGAAAATGTTATGCCTGCAGTACAGTAAGAGGAAAGTGCTCATTGCTGTAGTCTTTGTTTGCTGTGGCTGCCCATGTCCTCTGTCTTCCATGTGGACAGAATGGTCATATTTAATGTCGTCATTGCAGATGCACCAATGCACTTTATCACAGCAGCGTGCAAGCCTTGGAGGAAATGAGTGATGAGGAGCTTCAGGAACTCTTCAGGGAGGCACCTTTCCATGAGCTGCTGTTGGAGCCGGGGACAACTGTTATAGATGCCTGCCGCAAGGTCGGCGCCATCCCTGAGGGTCCCAGAGGGTAAGCACCCCAGTTCTCCTTTATCTAAATGCGGTACCAGAGTGGTATGTAGTGCTTTGATAGAGCTTGTTAGTGTGAGCATACATGCACCCAGAGATCCACAGTGTAATCTTTTGTGTATGGTGTGTAATGCAGTTACACATTCTGGGAAATAGAGGTGGGGGGATTGATCCAAATGTCGATAGCACCGATACCAAAGTTGGTATTTGTATCAGAACGAGAGTAGCAAGATAAGATCGATACTTTGTTTCTATCCTCCAGCCCGCTGAATTTTGTTAACCAAATAATTTTTTAGTAAATGAAGCTAAAATCTTCAATGAAAAACATCTGAACCTTTTTGAGTTGACTGTCACAGCTATTTTATTTCTATCCTGTAGAACACAAGTGCTGAAGAGTAGTGTTTTTTTGCAGCAGGTGCAGGAGTTTGTGGTCTCTTTGTTCTTCAGTGATAACGCTCA